GTGAGACCTAACTGCTTGAATCGAGATGCTTGGTTATTCTGCACGATTGATTCATTTAAAATTGGCGCAGTTTTACATGCGCGTGCGACCACTGAGCATGCGCATGTGGCCGCAGGGCATGGTCGTAGTCGCTGCATCTCGTCGGTATGACAGAAATCATAACTTGATTCCTGTCAACTTTAACCGTTAATATCTCGCTTCGCGGGGCAGAGCGACACTTTTTTCTGCCAGATTCGATCGTTTCGTGCAAAAACGCGTCGATTAAGCCCAAGTTCAACGAAATCGGTGAGGAGGCCACTATTCTTCAGATTTACCCAGTTAAATATTTTTAAAGCGCGTCATCTAACCTATGTAACTGTTTAAAGCGCGTCACTAACCTACATAGGTTAGATGACGCGCTTTAAAAATATTTAACTGTTTAAAGCGCGTTACTAATCTACATCTCGCTTCGCGGGGCAGAGCGACACTTTTTTCTGCCAGATTCGGTCGTTTTGTGCAAAAACGCGTCGATTAAGCCTAAGTTCAACGAAATCGGTGAGAAGGCCACTATTCTGCACATTTACCAAATAATTTATTAATTTGTCTGTTATAAATTATGTTTAAACACAAAATATAAAATATTTTAGTGCATGAACTCATTGTAAGTAAGAAAGTTGAAATTATAGACAGATTGCCATTCTTTTTAGAAAGATATTTTAATATGTTAATCACATTTCCCACTTGTCTGTGGGCATTATGCATAATGACCGGTCAGTTTGATTAATTTGAACATTTTTGCTTTTATTATTCAAATGTCCCGAAAGAAGCGGGCATTATGCATAATGCCCGGCCATTATGCATAATGACCGGATTAATCAAATTGCCCGTAACATATACACACATACGGACATTTTTTTAATGCAATATTTCGACGTTTTAGAACACTCTGAACATATTAGCATCAAAAACTCAAAAAACAATCTTTTCTTTAGTTTCTTCTTTACGAAAACTTTACGAAATTTACGAAAACAAAGCTTCCTCTATGAGGAAGCAATTTTTAAATAATTTTTAGATTAATTTTTTTCTTGCAATTTAACGCTGAATTTTCCAAATAAAACATACATTTTAATATATTTTTTCAAGCAAAGTTAAAAATTTTTAAAATATATGTTACACATATGTATGTGCTATAAGGACATAAAAGGAGTTAAATAGGAAACAAAAAATAATATTAGAGAGGTTGATTTGCGTTACTAAATAGAAAACAAGCAACATTGGTTTGTTATATTTGTTCGTTATTAAATATATCTTGTACATTATATTATTATGCAATATGAATATATATCTTATTTCCGACAAGCTACAACTTGTCCGATTTTTCACGATTTTGCTAGTATATATCGGACTGAAATTAGATATCGCGGGAAATGTGGTTGTCCAATGACGTGCCACTAGATAATCCTAGCAATATGGTGCACAGAGACTGCGCTATGCCGCGGGATGCTGAATGATCAATACGCGTGTTACGCTCTGGACCAAAAGACGGAATCGTCAAACTACGTGTCATCTAGCAACATCATGAAAACCAAAACACACACCTGCGTGCCAGGTGCTGTCGGCGTCGGTGAGTTCAGGATATTTCTCGATTTTTATGCCGACTGCTTAAACATTTATAAAGTCAGTTAAGAAAGGATAATGCACATTAACCGTTCGAGACACGACCATTAACATCTTCAAATATCCTCCGCATAAAACTACACCAGTAATCGGAAGTATATTGACGATACACATTATAACAAATCAGAGAAGTGTATTAGATGTTAACTGGAGATTAAATTATTAAATACTACAAATATATTAAGTATTACAATAAAAATTTCTCTTATAAGATTGCACTTTAGCTGACAAATTTTTTTAATTAAGTATTTTATCTGAAAAATGAGTCACTTCAATTTCTTTAGTTTTAGAATAAATTAATATTAGACAGAATTATTGATATAAAAATAAAGTGTCAACTAAGAATTTTTGAAAGTTATTTTTTTAAATTAATATTATCGTGTAAGATGCCTATTACACTGTTAATTTAACAAAAAATGATTTTTTTTAGAATAAGGGTAATGGTTCTCATAATCTTTTAAATGCTGCATACGATTTCCTTTATCAAACTATTAAAGTTGCAAAAAAGCTATTTTAATTTATTTTGACATATTCTAACTACGATATACATATATACATATGACGTATATTGGAGAAATTTGTTTAGCGCAATCAATTATTAAGCAAAATATATGTTCTTACTAATTCATCTCTTAAAAAGAATTTGCTGTGAGTATATATGACTAAAAAGATATTTAACTATGATTAATATAGGGCCTATTGTGTCAAAGTCGTGTAACTTTTGGATATTACGATAATAGTAGATTACGATATTACGATGTATATATTAGTAGTTTATATATTAACACTTCGGTCCGTGAAACCGCTTGATTTTGTTTCATTCTAATTAAGACTACATTTTCGGTTGTCGGATCAAAAAATCAATTTTATACATATTTTGAAAGATAGAGGTCTTTAAAATATATCCTTAAAATATTATGTCAAAATTCGAAAAATTTCCGAGATTAGAGACGACCTAACAGATGCGCACGAGGATGCGCAGGTAGAAAACGGAACGCGTAACGCATTCCTTCGGATTTGAGTTGGAACAGCTCTTCAGATATGAAGAGGACAGTATTTCAATATCCTCTGTATTGTGTGTGTAAGTGCAAAATACAACAAGTGTTTCAATTCTCAATTTGGCGCATCGCGCCTAAGCACCTTTATTGTGGTTACAAAACAATTAAAATTTCTGCGTATCTAGCCGCCGAAATTTTTAATGAAAAATTCAATGCAATTCTCAAAACAATGACAACAAAAAGTCTAACTATTTGTCTGCAAGCCAAATTATTTGCTGATTATCGCAACAGCCAGCGATTTAAAACAGTGTCCGCCTAAGTACTAAAGAGGCTCGAATCACACGAAAGGACGAATCAACAATATTAAAAGCCTTTTATGAAGAAGAAGGTCTAATTTATGGCCCTAACATAGCTGACTAGCACAAAACAGCTGTAAGTACTTGAAATTCTATAGTTAACTCATGGTGGAAGGAAATAAGGTGAGGCAATGCGCATCATGAGTTTCACAGCCAATAGAGAACGCCGCACAGTTGTCGGCCATTACTAGCGGTCATTCAAATAAATAGGAATGGATAGGAAAATCTCTAAAAGTCACAATTACTGAAAAATTATTAATTTTTCATAACGAATGGAAATAATATCACGAAAACGAGCTTCCATAAGGAAACCATATTTTTCTATGGCATCAGTTTTGGAGGAAACAGATTTTTTTACCAATAAACAAGTCATTTTGGAAAAATTATATATCAAACTTATGAAAAAAAGACTATCAACGAGTAATAAGCATTCGTAATTGATAAATAAAATCAAAACTATGCTAGTATTGCTAATGAATATAAATCATGTCACAAAAGATAGTTTCAGAAATGGTCAGTGGTGTAGCGGCACGTATTATGTTTTGTATATTTTTGACTCGGGTTTGAATCCCCACTGTTCCTTTTTTTATTGACCCAGTTGCAATTAATGATAATGAATCAGGCTGATTAAAGGAAATTAATTAAAAAACGGTTATCACTCACCGATTTACCTTTTTTTTTAATCTCTTCAGAATTTATTTGGCTATATCATTGACTAGAATCAGGATGTTTAATTGAAAATTGTGATTTATAGCAATAAAGTAGTTGAAAAAAGGATGAAATTTTATAACTAGCGGCGTTTCTTTTGGGCTTTCACTCAACGGTTCCCTCCACAACCAATTTTCAAAAATTTTTAATAATAAGAAATGTTGAATGTTATTATTGAAAGATGAATAAATATTTTTTCGAAATCCAATGCCAAAAATGTAGAATACCTTAAAAAAAAACTGAAAATTGGCCCTACAAAAGGTAAATCCCCTCTTGATATTTTATTCTAAATCACCTGTTTATGGGAAAACAGGAAGCAAAGAGTACATTGTAATGCATCGTATAATAATTTTCTTAAAAAACAAGAAAAATTGAATATTGAATTACTTTTCAATATATATCCACATTTATTATTCAATCACAATACAGTAACACTTTTTTCAAATAACACGATGTAAACTGTAAACAACTTTTACCAATGCGTGCTTGCCATGCTTCACTCATATGCTACACTGCGTAACCACGTGTTAGCGAAAAAAGATGGCGAAAACTGTGCAGATCCCCCACCATGCCTGGGCTGCGCAGAACAGAACGAAACTCGTCACGAGGATTGCCTCACCTTATTTCCTTCCGCCATGAGTTAACTGTACTTAAAACGCGTTTTTCTCAAAGTAACATTTTTTTACCTGGCGATCACGATATCTCGGGAACGGATAATCCGATTAACTTCGAATTTTCAGGAAATATAGAACACAACTCCATTTCTATGGCCAATTTTTGTCAAAAAATCGATATTTTGTTCGGAATAACACACACACACACACTTTTGTTACTTTCCAATCTTCTTTTTCGCTTCATTTTAGTTCACGCAATAGCCACACAATGTAAAGATTATATCTCACTTTAGTTTTTTTGTTTCAGATTACCCTGCAGAAACTAGTTAGGATGGTCATGGAGAAACATATTTTTTTAGGCAACTTGCAAAAAAAAGATTTGCAAAAGAAACTTTTAATAAATAGAAAAGATCATATCTTACATTAAAATGTTAATAAACAAGCCTATACACACAAAAAATTAAGCAAATCAACAGTTTCTTTTTAAAAAATTCCGAAATAGCCCCTATTTTTGAACGTTTGCAACCGAAAATGTAGTCTTAACATTTTTAAGCTTGTGATGTAGAAATTAGAAATACAAAGTCTGAATAAGATGTTTATAATAATATAAAAAAAAAAATTGAATTTAAACTGAACTTATTATAAGAAAAAGATTGCAAGAAAATGGAGAAGTGTTTTTGGAAAATTTTCAAATGGTTTTGAAAATGCAAAAAATACTTTTTCGCATGTTTATTCGTCGTAGCGAATACCTGATATTTTAAAAAAAATAATATGTCGTGATTTATTCCAAAAAGTAGAAAAAACTGGGGCAAAGTTGTCACTATTTTTTCGGTGCCGATTTTTAACAACAAAACAAATAATTTTAGTAAAATGTGATATACCGTTGTAAAGAGTAAAGCTTTGACTAAAAATTTTATACGGACATCGCTTTGTTTGACTGGTATAGTGAAAACGACAAAGATGCAAAAGTTGAAATGTCAAAATTGCTCGGGCGGAGTCACTTCATTCTCGGACTGAATTTTGAATGAAAATTCATAATTCCGATCATGAAAAATGATAAGATACATTTTATTAGTTTTTCTTTTTTTAGAAAAATTTTTTATAGAAAAATGGAAATATTAATTAAAAACACGATAGCGAAAAATAATTACAAGAAAAGCGCACACACTTATGTGCCCTACGTTCGCACATTTCTCGTCAGCTCTATTCTGTCATCTCTGAGTACACGCAGCACATATTATTCAAGTCCTCGCCGGAATCCGACCACTGCTTCTTTGACTTTGATTTTCGCCGGAAGCCTCCATGATATGGCTTGGTGACGACTTTGCCGGTCGCCCCGGACACAAGTTTCAAGTTTGGTCGCTCATAAAATATTAGAAATCAATAAAAATAAAAAAACTTCACTGGATTCGTGTTCAGCATGCATTACTCTTTATAGAATCATTTACTTTAAGTTTCGGAGACACTAATATTTAAAATATTACAAATGTTCGACGCGGAAAAAATTTTACTTTCGACCTCCGAAAACTTGGCCTCGACAAGAATCACAACATGGCACATAACCTCACTAAACTCTGTTGGTCACGTGAGCCATAAGCCGCGTTTACAGTATTAATGGCGAGTTCACACAACATACAGATTTCGAGATAATTGCAATGACGACTCCACCCCGGTAACGACTTCGTTCCGTTCTCCCCTATATTAAAGTCATTTGAATTGTAACAATGTTCACAAAAAAATTATAGGTCTAACATAAGTACAGAGAGTATAAAGTTATAAGATGTATAAATGGAATTTTGAAATTTACCCTGAAAATCATTGTGGGACAACATGTACTACGAAGAATTTTATGCGAGCTATTCTGATTAAGTATACAAAAAATAAGGCAAATGAGAGCTACGCACGTTAATCGGGCGACGGTTAAAATAAAAAATTAATACAAAACTATAGCAGCAAACGTTTCGGTCACTCGTTCAGACTTTTCTCAGTACGAAAAAACGATGAACAAGGCATTCAGTAGTGGCAGTCGTAAAATGCAGTCAATTATATAAACATATGCTTTAACTTCATAACATGATTGTACGGATGTCGAGTAAGATGTCGTTAATCAATGTGACTGTTCCCAGGTAGCAAGCACTCGGCATTTTGACGTCAATTGACGTCAAAAGTCTGTCATTTTGACGTCTTTTGGCGTCAATTGACGTCAAAATGACGAGTGCTTGCTACCTGGCGGGTTGCCTAATACAAAGAAATAACAATTCAAACAGAGAA